TGAGTATCATGATTCCATCTCTGTATATTGGCCATGTCCCGCATGCCAGAGGGATCTTACGAGAAGCAAAGGTGTTAAGAACCACCTCGATACCGAATCTGGTAAATGTCGTTTTGCTGAACCATTTAAATTTCCAGATGACCACGACCCCGAAGGTAAGACCGTGCCAGCTTGGTGGAAACCCTTACCTAAACCTGGTGAGGGCCAAGCTTCAGCGTCAGGTGGCCGCCAAGGCGCACACGCCAGGCCACCACGACCGCGATCCTTCGGTAACGTTGATCCGACATCTGGCGCCAGCAGTTACGACCTGCTACGAGACGCCCCCGAGCGTGGAAACACGCCTTCTGCGTCCTCTAACGAAGCGCCACAGGTAGCGGCCCGTCGTGGCCGCCTAGAAGGCGTACCACCACCACCAGATGCAGTTGACGAAGGAGACCGACTGCGGAGAGCTACAAGGAACCTTCTTGCCTCCACCGGCTCGGGGGCTCCACGACTACCCGGCTGGGCGAGATTCGACATCCAGCACAGTCTGCAAAATCTCCGTAGTCACTAACCTCACGTCGTTAAAAAGGAACTCCGTAAACTGCACCTGCGGTGGTATCATGCGAAGGAACCCAAGATGAGGCTAATCCTAGGCAAAGTGGGACTGGACAACGTTCGACTGAACATGATCAAAGAAGTTTGCGATACCTGTCGGGAATGCAGAGCATGGGAACGTCCAGGAAACTCAACCTTACCTTCGGTGAGCTTTCCTGGTAATTGGCTCGACGAAGGCGACATGGATCTCATGTTTTACAAGAAACGGACCATATTTCACATTATGGACCGTTGTATTCGCCTGGCAGCAGGCCAAGAAATCTCCGACAGAGAACGTGATACTATACTTGACGCCTACCACTACTGCTGGATTGCCTATCATGGACCCTTCAAAGTCTTATACTCAGACGGAGAAGGCGCCCTGAACAATGATGCCGCTAAGGATATGATGGCCAATAAGGGTACGGAACTCCGTATCCGAGCGCCTGGCCAACACGCGACTTCAATTGAGTCACGAAACGGCATTCTCAGGGGCGTCTTCCACATGATTGAGGAAGAGCTGAATAGACACCACATCCCTGTTGTATTCACTAGAGTTTTGGCTGAAGGCATCTTCGTTGCCAACGCCTTCGCGTTTTACAACGGGGTATCGCCATGCCAAGCACACACTGGACGTCAGCCCTCCTTTTTTCCTGACCTCGACACCCTTGACTTTCCCAAGGGACCCGAGACATCAGGCCATGAACGGGGACGCCGTGTGAGGGAAGTTAGCCTAGAAGCCATAACTCAAGCCACTGCTGTGGCCAAGACAAATCGTGCTCTCAGGGCTAAAACGGCTCCAGATGGTGCTCGCCTTTACTCAGCAGGGGATCTGGTCGACTACCATCGACCCACTGCCACTAAGGACGATCATGGAGGCTGGAACGGCCCATTCCCTGTGATCCGTAACGTGCCTGAAAGAGGACATATTGTTGTCACAGCAGGATCTCGTGAGGTAATTGTGATGTATCCTGATGCTCGTCACACACTATACATTGAATGTCTCCTCGCACGGGAACTTGGCATGGATCATATGGCCATGCAAACCGTCCTTACGTATGTGGCGCACCTCGGCGCAGGGAAACCTGCCAAAGTCTTCGGCTACATCCCAGACTACAAGGGAAATCTCAATCTTCCAGACGACAGCAAGTTTCACCCGCGCGTACATCTAGCACTACAGTATCTCGTGCGAAATTATTTCCGAGTAGAACACGTAGTAGCAGTTAGATTGGCCAAAAGTGTGTCAAGTCTACCTGCAGTAAAGTACGCCACCGGGTCTACGCTGGTCCACTACGACAATGATATCAGCCCAGCCTTCCACTACTATGAGTGTGTGGGCACTGGCCTGAACATTTCTCAAATTACTGGTAGCACTCATTCCAGACTTATCCAATGCTTGACTTCACGTGTCCCTTCCTTAGGATTTCACGACGACCTGGCTAAATATCAGCACTCAAGCACCACGTCTGGAGAACACGATTCGCCTGGAAACAGGCCTGCACCAGATACCCCAGGTGCTCCATCGCCGGGTGAAGGCCGTCTGTCGACAATCTATGAAGAAAACGAGGAACATAATATCGAAGCTATGATACTAGAAGAGTGGTACGACGAGTTACGTATGGACCTTCATCCCACGACAACTACCGACGATTATCTCGACTGCGTCCCAACAACCATGCTGCCCGACCAATGTGTTTTGGTTTCAGCATCTGTGGACGAAGAAGATATCGCATTGTCGGAACCGCTCGGAGACGAGCCTGAACCACGAGAGCCCTGTCTAATCTCTCTCTGCTCAACCACACCTGATGAGAGCTACTCTCTTGACAGTGATGAATATGGTCCCTATGTTGAGTTATGTTTTACATCAGAAATGTCAAAGGTAGTGTTGGATCAGACTCAACTTGCACAGCTCGACACTGACATGGTCGCAACGATGAGAGTATATGTATCCTCTGCTGCTAAACGTGCTGTGGTAGTCAAAGAAGATGACCTACTCACCAAAGCCGACATAGCAGCACATCCAAAAGAGGTTAGTGAAGCTTTGTACACTGATCTCAAAATCTGGATTGATAACCGATGCTCTGAGATGTATGATTTATCCAAAGCTTCCAACAACATGACATCCAGGTATGTATATAAGTGGAAGTTTGTGAAGGTGGGCACCGAGAACGTTAAAACCATTCGTCTCAGACTTGTCCTTCGTGGATTTATGGATACTGAGGCTTTCGACGTGGAAACTGTCTCGGGAACCGCCCGAAGGCAGTCCCAGAGACTCCTGGCAAGTGAGGCGGCATGCCATCCAGAGTGGATCTTAGCATCCATGGATATCGACAAGGCGTTCCTCAAGGGTCTGACCTATGAGGAACTTGCCCGTGCCACCGGCGAGGAAACTCGCATGGTTTGCTTCGCCCTTCCACCGGGAAGTGCCCAGGTACTTCGTACACTACCCGACTTTTCATCCTATGACGAAAGCCGACACTGCCTCAGGTGCCTCAAACCAGGAACGGGTACAAAGGACGCTCCAGGAGCGTTCTCTCTCAAACTTCGTACGACCACACGAGCTATAGGCCTTGCACCGACCAGTTATGATCCTGAATTTGAATTCAGCCAAGATTCGCTAACGGCAAAACATGTCGATGATATTAATATGACAGGCCTAGAGAAAATATAGACGATTATGTACAACGTGTCGAAAAGGTGTTTGGCAAATGCAAGCTTAACAAACACTCATATACGAACTGCGCCGTTCGCTACACTAAGAATGACCAAGGGGATGTGATCATGGATCAGGACGAGTATATCAAACAACTACGTCCTATCACACACACACAGGACTTACAGGAGCGGCGGCCGATGCCAAAGCCACGAAACTCATTACCGACATGTTCGTCAGCTTGCGAGGAGCCCTCGCCTATGCCCTTCTTACGCAAATCTGGCTCATGGTATACGTGGTCTCTCTCCAGAAAATCCAAGAGCCCGCCAACCTGCAAGTCAGACGACTGAATGCTGTGACGCGAAAGCTGATCAGCAGCCCGAAACGCATCACCTTCCCTCGGATGAAGCCGACGAACGAAATTGACATACACAGCGATTCGGGGTATCGGATGCTCACCGGGGAGGAGGATGATGAGACCAAGGGCTACGGCATACGCGGGGCCAATGTACTACGGCGAGGAAACTCGCCCCAAGGCAAATCCGTCGTTCACCTCTGTGACGGACTATGCAAATCACACCGACTGCATGTGAGGTCTAGTTATGCTGCGGAGGCACTCGCAGCTGCGCATGACCTCGATAAGTGTTACCCTACGCTCATCCCTCTCCACGAGCTCAAGGCAGGGGCTTTGGCTCCACGACAACTACGAGATATGCGTGAAGTTGGTGGCCTAGCCATTAAAGTATCTCTTACCATAGACGCTGAGTCGGTTTATAAGTCATTATCAAGCAAGGATCTTAAGATACCGACAGAACGGACTCTGCTTGGACATATCAGCTGGATACGTGAGCTCATGGATATATGTATAGTACATAACGTGCAGTGGTGTGATACTAGAGATATGACCGCAGATGGGCATACAAAGGGAAGCATCGATCGGGAGCTGCTTTTGGAAGTGATGTCAGGCACTCAGTCATTCAAGTATGACGTGAAGCAGTTTGTTCCCTTCGGGGTCTTGAGGACAGAAACAAACCCAAGTCTAATCAATTTTAGTCTGTCCTTGTTGCCCCCCGCGGTCCAACTTGCCAGCATGGGCGCCTACTACAGAGGCGCCCTTCGAGTTGCTCGGAAACGAGCCTTGCATTTCACGCTTGGCAACGAGCCGGCTTTATATGATTCAGGCTCTTTGCCTTAATACCCGTTTGCTCGGTGAGATATGGCCCGTTTGGCTTACCTCTAGCTGAGCCGATAGCCCTGCATCGTCCGAAAGGGCTATCTTGTATTTGCGTGAAATGCTTTGCGAGGAAACTCGCCTTACAGTCTGGTGTTAGGCCAGACTGTACACACTGCTTTCTTTCTTGCAAACAGTCGCGCGCGCGGCCTTTGTAGAGCCTAACGGCTGCGCGGCTATACTCTCCGTCTCCTCCCCTCCCGACTTTAAGGGTAGCTCTTTGGGAGATGTTATAGTATCGGGAGTATAGCTCGCGCGCCATTGCCTTTGGCTCAAGGCACGCGCGCCCTATTTGCCCGAACACTGCTTGTGTTCGCTATGTGCTGGAAAGATCACTAAATCGATCTTATCCGATCATATCCGTCCATTCCTCTTACTGAACCACCTCAGTACGATACCGGACGCTATTTGCCATCCGCTTCCCATGGAATCGGATGCTATTTGAGTTACCAGGCTCACTTTCGACTTCAGCGCCTTCGCCTCCTGGGCCGGGCAGTCTTGCCTCAGATGGATTTCCGGTCGTCGCGATGGCCTCCGCAGCGTCGCATAGCTGACGAGGTGGACATCCTTCAACGCCGGATGGTTGCCACCATCATGCGGGTGCCGCCACGCCCTGGTGAGGAGCCGGCGTGCTACTTCAGGAAGCGTGGCCGCGCCGCCGCCGCCGAGTGCAACAAGCAGGGCGTCTGGTCCCGGCGCTGGTTCTGGAGGGTGCTTGATTGGCAGGAGCACCTTGACCACCCCGGAAAGGGCAGGGCTGGGCGGCCAAGTTGAGCAGATACCGGGACAGGGAGTGGTTCATCCGACGCCGGGCTTCGCTGCTCCCGCCGGGCAGCAGACGGTCCACGGGGGCATCGTGTTTGGCTGGCCGGACGGACACCCGCGCTAGCCGTGGAATGGTGCAGACGAGGTGGCATGACGGAGTAGAGTTCGCTCGCCGAGCGATTTTACCGCCCGTGGTCTTCTCTCCGCAGTGATGCGGGTGAGTGAGGCGTAGTTATCAGTCTTGGCGTGCTAGCAGCGTGCTGTGTAGCATATCAGTACTCGGGCAGTTTTCCGTCCCATTTCAGTTTCAGTTTCAGAGGATTTTCTCTCGGCGGAGACGGTCGCGAAGCATGGTGGGTCACCTTGCGGAAAAATGCACACGCGCAGAATCGAACAATACACCGGGAAAGGGACGTCCGAGCGATGCCGAGGTCGGGATGTCGACGTTCAGGTGCAGGACTGAACGCGAAGCTTCTGCGAGCATGCAACCTTCCAGCAAAGTTCCTTTGGACGCAGTTGCATGCTCCGGTGGACCGTCACCGCGTCTGCGGTACAATTCGAGAAACGAGGTGACCAGGTGATGTTACAGAGGGCACTTGCACGAAGCCAGCAGGGAGCTTGTGTAGCGCAGTGTCTTCAGGTGGGTGAGGTGGAGGGTTGGGTTGGAGCAAGGGCAGGTTGGCTGGAGTCATGACCATGTCGAGGTCCACGGCCAGTCTATCCAACCGATGTGCCCCGAACGGCTCGGCCTTATTGTTGACATCTGCATTTCTCCCATGCCAGTTTCTTTCATTGCCATTGGCTGGACTGGCCCTGTGCCTCTTGACTCTTGGTCTTCGAAGCCGCGGGCGATTGCAGAGACATCCTTCATGCATATAGCGGGTGTGAAGTTGATGGCGCAATTCCGGTGGCCTCGCTGCTTCGCGGTGTCTGTCCTTCATCTCTCTCTCTTTCTGTCTCTCTATTTCGCTCTCTCTCTTCTCTCTCTCTCTCTCTCTCTTTATTTCTCTGTCTTTCTCTCTCTTTTTTTTTCTCTCTCTCTCTCTCTCTCTATATCGCGCCAGCCAGTTCCTGGTGTGTCTCCCTCTTTTTCTGCGTGTGCGTGCGTCTGTGTACACACCAATCGACATACCGATCATTCTTGCAATCTCCCCTCTCACTCGCTGTTTCCCAGGTTCGTATCACACACTCAGAACCTGGCGGGGCAACCTGCTACCACTAGCTTCAGAGCGGTTAGTTTCCATGCAGTTGGCGTGATACAATGCAACGCGTTTTGTTGCCCAGTCGTAATCAAACACGTCTGCCACCTACTGCGAACCACCGCTGCCCCTTCTCTTTTGGAAACGCCTATGTAAAGAGACGTTGGGAGGACGTCTTGCCAAGCTATTGGAGCATATGCTTCTAATTGGGCACGGAGGGTGTGAAGGGGTGTACCGAAATGGGCCCGCGTGTGCCATGCAACCGCCTCTCAGGGGCGCGAAAAAGAGCACAAAAAGGCGAGCACGAAGTCATGCACCGTCCGTCGCGTAGGCGGGAAAAGTCGGATTTGAAGAGTTTATGATCAATGCGTTCGCTAACAGGGCTGCAAGGGAGGAGAGCCAGGAGGTAGAGGGGGAGGACGAGACATGGATGATGAGTAGGAGGAGGAAGAGGAGGAGGGAGAGAAACAGAGGACATATCAGATGCCTTGCATTCACAGTTCCGTGCTCTCCTGCCAGGGAGTTCGGGCCGAGCTAGAATAACGATTCACATTTGTGTTTCGTCTGGAACCTCTCCCAAGCTCCAGATATTGTCTGAGCGAGAGCTTTCCATTCCGGAGGATCGCGTACGTGTTCCATGATGTTTGCGTCTGTGTTGAAGTTTGTTGATCTGCTCTTGTACAAGCACGTGGTCCATTCGGTATTCGGCCTTCCCCTCCTCCGCGTGGGCAAGGACGTGGCGGAGAGGACGCTAGCATTCCCAACCAACCAGTGTTGTTGGGTCCTCGTTTTGAAGAGACGGTCCCCGCGTCCTCCCTCTTTCTCCTCCCCCCTCCCTCCTCCTCTTACCCGTCATCATCACCATCATCGTCATCATCATCATCATCATCATCGCCGTCATCAGCACCATCACCCCTCACACGTTTCGTGGCCCCACAGGGAGCTCCACCGAAGGCCCCAGTGCTGCCGGCCGCATGCGTCCCGCACACCCATGCGTCCCGCACACCCAATTCGGCACACCCCTCACACGTTTCGTGGCCCCATAGGGAGCTCCACCGAAGGCCCCAGTGCTGCCGGCCGCATGCGTCCCGCACACCCAATTCGGCACACCCCTCACACGTTTCGAGGCCCCATAGAGAGCTCCACCGAAGGCCCCAGTGCTGCCGACGGCATGCGTCCCGCACACACATGTCGGCACACCCCCTCACACATTTCGTGGCCCCATAGGGAGCTCCACCGAAGGCCCCAGTGTTGTTGGCCGCATGCGTCCCGCACACCCATTTCGGCACACCCCTCACACTCTTCGTCCCAGTGCCGCCAGCCACATGCGTCCTGCACTCCCAATTCGGCACGCCACTCACACGTTTCGCGGCCCCATAGAGAGCTCCACCGAAGGCCCCAGTGCTGCCGACCGCATGCGTCCCGCACACCCATGTCGGCACACCCCCTCACACATTTCGTGGCCCCATAGGGAGCTCCACCGAAGGCCCCAGTGCTGCCGGCCGCATGCGTCCCGCATTCCCATTTCGGCACACCCGTCACACGCTTCGTGGCCCCGTAGGGAGCTCCACCGAAGGCCCCAGTGTTGTAGGCCGCATGCGTCCCGCACACCCATTCCGGCACACCCCTCACACGTTTCGTGGCCCCATAGGGAGCTGCACCGAAGGCCCCAGTACCGCCGCCCGCATCTGTCCCGCACACCCAATTCGGCACACCCCTCACACGTTTCGTGACCCCATTGGGAGCTTCACCGAAGGCCCCAGTGCCAGAAGAACGGATGCGAGCAGAAGCGCGGGAGTGTTGTCGGGAATGTGTGGTGCGAGTTGATGGGTTTGCAACAATTCGCCCACACGCGCAGTACGAAGCGCGTGCACGGTGTGCCTAGACCGGCCCGCGTACACCACGCAGGCTTTCCCAGTGCGGCCGCACGTGGACTCATCTGCTACGTGAGGCGGGCATTCACCTACGACCTACGCCCAAGCGTGACCCAGTTCAGCGCATGGCGATTGTGTCGCTTCGCTACTGGAGGAACAACTGTGCCGAAAAGGTATGGCGAGTTGTCCGACTGGGGCCGTAAATGGAGTTCTTCCAGTGGTTCGAGCGTGTGACAGGTGTGCCGAAATGGGCCTGCGTACGCCCTGCAAGTTTTCCCACTGGAGCCGTCTGCGGAGCTCCCACAGTTGCACGGGACGTTTGAAGGGTGTGCCGGAATTTGTACTGAAATTTTCCCGCGTGCGCGAGGCAGGCATGTTTTCTCATTGGGGCCGTGGGTGGAGCTCCCACACGGTCGCGAAATTGAGGGGCGTGCTGAATTCTAAACGCTTCGCGTATCCCCGCCAGTTTCCGTAGCCATTTTGGCTCAAGTGCAGCTCTCGGTCAGGGGGCGGCTGCGCACGTCACCCCGATGATGCAATCCAATCTCCACGCGTTGGCACAAGCTTGATAGGGTGAATAGTAGGAGCCACTTCGATGAACCCCGATACCGAATCGTGCGCGACAGCGCGGAAGAGTTGGGCACTGCGAAAGGCAACGATGTTTCGTATGATTATTGCGCAGAAGGATGGGCATTGCAAATTGAAGGCCCAGGACGTAGCACGGGTGTCAGGCCCCGTGCGCGAAGTTGCTTGGGGGTGCGGCGGGCTTCGCGGCAGTGATGCCGAACTCCCCGTTGCTCCCGTCCGCGGCTGTGGCACCGCCGCCACGGCGCCGCTTGGAGGGCGCCTTGTTCCTTTTGATCCTTCCTTTGATTTTGATGAGCTGGACATAACAACTCCAGTGGACGCTGTTTGGGACGAGCCCGAGGCCCAGTCGTGCGCGACGGAGGAACTGTGGGTTAATGTCGAGGAGCAGGACCTCTTCAGTTCCGAGCTGCTGGCGCATTTCGTGCACGATGTCGTCTGGGGCTGCGGCGGGCCTGCTGGCAGTGATTGCGACCTCCCCAGTGCTCCCGCTTGCGGCTGTGGCACCGCGGCCACGGCGCCGCCTGGAGGGCGCCTTGTTCCTTTTGATCCTTATTTTGATTTTGATGAGCTGGACATAACAACGCCAGTGGACGCTGTTTGGGACGAGCCCGAGGCCCAGTCGTGCGCGACGGAGGAACTGTGGGTTTATGGCGAGGAGCCAGACCTCTTCAGTTCCGAGCTGCTGGCGCACTTCGTGCACGATGTCGTCTGGGGCTGCGGCGTGCCTGCTGGCAGTGATTGCGACCTCCCCAGTGCTCCCGCTTGCGGCTGTGGCACCGCGGCCACGGCGCCGCCTGGAGGGCGCCTTGTTCCTTTTGATCCTTATTATGATTTTGATGAGCTGGACCTAACAACGCCAGTGGACGCCGTTTGGGACGAGCCCGAGGCCCAGTCGTGCGCGACGGAGGAGCTATCGGTTTATGGCGAAGAGCAGGACCTCTTCATTTCCGAGCTGCTGGCGCATTTCGTGCACGACGTCGTCTGGGGGTGCGGCGGGCCTGGCGGCAGCCATGCCGACCTCCCCGGTGCTCCCGTCGACTGTGGCACCGCGGCCACGGCGCCGCCTGGGGGGCGCCTTGTTTCTTTTGACCCATATTTTGATTTTGGTGAGCTGGACCTGACAACGCCAGTGGACGCCGTTTGGGAGGAGCCCGAGGCCCAGTCGTGCGCGACGGAGGAATTGTGGGTTTATGGCGAGGAGCAGGACCTCTGCAGTTCCGAGCTGCTGGCGCACTTCGTGCACGACGTCGTCCGGGGGTGCGGCGGGCCTGGCGGCGGCGATGCCGACCTCCCTGGTGCTCCCGCTTGCGGCTGTGGTACCGCCGCCACGGCGCCGCCTGGATGGCGCTTTGTTCCTTTGGACCCTTACTTCGATTTTGATGAGCTGGACCTGACAATGCCAGTGGACGCTGTTTGGGAGGAGCCCGAGGCCTGGTCGCTCGCGACGGAGGAGTTGTGGGTTTATGGCGAGGAGCAGGACCTTTTCAGTTCCGAGCTGCTGGCGCGCTTCGCGCAGGACGTCGTCTGGGGGTGCGGCGGGCCTGGCGGCAGCGATGCCGACCTCCCCGCTGCTCCCGTCTGCGGTTGTGGCACCGCCGCCACGGCGCCGCCTGGAGGGCGCTTTTTTCTTTTGGACCCTTACTTTGATTTTGATGAGCTGGACCTGACGATGCCAGTGGACGCCGTTTTGGAGGAGCCCGAGGCCCAGTCGTGCGCGACGGAGGAACTGTGGCTTTATAGCGAGGAGGAGCTGCTGACGCACCGTGCACGACGTCGTTTTGGGCTGCGGCGGGCTTGGCGGCAGCGATGCCGCCCTCCCTGGTGCTCCCGCTTGCGGCTGTGATACCGCCGCCACGGCGTCGCCTGGAGGGCGCTTTGTTTCTTTGGACCCTTACTTCGATTTCGATGAGCTGGACCTGACAACGCCAGTGGACGCCTGTTGGGAGGAGCCCGAGGCCTGGTCGCTCGCGACGGAGGAGTTGTGGGTTTATGGCGAGGAGCAGGACCTCTTCAGTTCCGAGCTGCTGGCGCGCTTCGCGCAGGACGTCGTCTGGGGGTGCGGCGGGCCTGGCGGCAGCGATGCCGACCTCCCCGCTGCTCCCGTCTGCGGTTGTGGCACCGCCGCCACGGCGCCGCCTGGAGGGCGCTTTTTTCTTTTGGACCCTTACTTTGATTTTGATGAGCTGGACTCAACAACGCCAGTGGACGCCATTCTGGAGGAGTCCGAGGCCCAGTCGTGCGCGACTGAGGAATTGTGAGATTATGGCGAGGAGCAGGACCTCTTCAGTTTTAAGTCGGGCGTGCCTTCCTACGTGAGGAATATTCAAACATAGTCAACCAATAGTCTGGATACGATTTCTTTTTGCATGAAAAAATATCCATGTAAGGTTATTGTTTAATTATTTGCCCCACAGCATCATACTTGTATGCCCCGCTGCAGTACAGGAACACTCCCCCCGAAAGGTTTCGGATATGCTTAGCACACGTTTGAAACGATTGTTGCTTCGGATCGGGTGTAAGGCTCGACTGATGTTGCCGCTACCTGCCGCCTGATCCGCGGCCCCGCGCGCGCTCGGGAATTTAGTCGCGGCCGCAGCCCGACCGTGACTGTTCGCCGCTGTGCGCTTCCGCCTGCGGCTGTAAAAAAAGTACCCCCGCCTGCAGACTCCCTGGGATTGCACGTCCGCCTGGCCATCCCCGCCAGCCCGTCCAGAAATGAGTCCTAGGGGAGTGGAGGTGATGAGGGAAGCGGGGGAGCATGCAGAAGAACAAAGGGCGGGGTAAGCTGCCATATACCCCAAGAGGGGGAGGATGTAGGAGAACTCGTCGTCGTCGGAGTAGGAGGAGGAAGAGGAGGAGCAGGAGGAGAAGCAGGAGGAGGAGGGGGAGGAGGAGGAGGAGGAAGATGAGGAGGAGGAGATGGAGGAGGGCGAGGACGTGGAGGACGAGATGGAGGAGAAGGAAAAGGAGAAGAAGAAGGAGGAGGAGGAGGAGGAGGAGAGGGAGGTCGGCGCACAGGAACCCGACACCAACACCAAGAAGCCACCAGAAAAGAAAACATTGCAGCCTCTGTTGAATGCCGTCGCCCGTGTCTTCGGGTTCGCGTGTCCAGAGTTGATGAATGCCAGCTCTGAGCGCGTGGGAACGTAACGGGCCGTCTCCAGTTCCCCAAGTGAGCGTTAGGATTTCCATGGGCCGCGCGAGTCCCGCGGGCCGTGCGAGCCCAGCCAGCCCCATGAACCCCACAAGTTCCACAAAGGGCTTCATGGGCCGAACGTGCGCCGCAGCGCGCATAAGCCCAACGTGCCGCGCTGGCCCAGCATGCCGCGCGGGCACCATTGGCTCCCTGACTCGTCAGGGCCACATCTGGTTTCTGAGCCTTGGAACCCCGCGGGCCATGGGAACCCCGTGGGCCCCAGGGGCGCCATGAGCTGCATGGGACGTTTCCCTATCATGGAAGCACCGTGGCTTGCAAAGTCGGAGAGCAATGCGAGCCATCTCAAGCTTTCTTGGCTTCGTTGGGTCGCTCAGCCCCCACAGGGAAAGCGCTCCGAACTTTTCCAGTGGCGTCTTGGTGCTGGTGCCGGCTTTTTGTTCCCTGCAACATCAAAAAGCCGACACCAGCACCAAGACCCCCACTGGAACGGCGGCCCCATGTGCGAGCTGAACCCCTCGACGATTTCGGGAGGTTGCCACGGGCTGCGGGCTTGGGTCAAGAGGGGGCCACGGTCTTATGCCCAGGCCGCGACGGGCGGCCACCGCCCCCTTTTCGCAGAGAGCGGCGGATTCGAACTCGTCGGGCCTTGGTGTCGGGCCAGACGAGGGTCAGGGATGCGACGCGGGCGGACATAGGGTGGGTGAGGGGCGGGGGGAATGAGAGGGGGGCGGGCGGACGGGGGTAGGCGTGGTGGAGGGCGGCGGTGGGGGGAGTGAAGCTTCAGCCATGGGGAATGCCGCAGCCTTCCCTCTTCTCTCCCTCTTCTCCCGAGAGCGCCCGCTAGTTTCGCTTCTCGCTTGCACTTGTTATTTCCTGCTTTCCCTCCTGCGTGCTGCGCGACGTCTCCCTTCCCCCGTTTTCCTCGCCCACTCTGCGATTCCTCAGGCCAGGGCGGGCTCGCGCTGGTCCAAAACGCAATTCGACATTTCGTGAAACAAATACTTTCTTGGTGCTGGTGTCGGCTTTTTGTTCTCCCAGGAGGGGGAGTAGGGAGGAGGAAGAAAAAGAGGAGGAGGAGGTGGATGATGATGATGATGATGATGATGATGATGATGATGATGATGATGATGATGATGATGATGATGATGATGATGATGATGATGATGATGATGATGATGATGATGATGATGATGATGATGATGATGATGATGATGATGAGGAGGAGGAGGAGGAGGAGGAGGAGGAGGAGGAGGAGGACAATGGCGAGCTTGGGGGTCTCTTGGGCCGTCTTTGGAGCCTCTTGGCGGTTGGGGGTCTCTTGGGAGCCTCTTGGAGGCCTCTTGGGCGCCTCTTTGTGCCTTTTGGGGCCCTCTTGGGGCGCTCTTGGGAGCCTTCGGGGCGCTCTTGGGGCCATGTTGGGGGAGATGTATCAAAGAAGGGCGGGTGGGAATTAGCGTTGCCCCTCTAGAGTGCCTCTTGGGCCCCAAAAGAGGCCAATATCCTTCCAAAACCTAAGAAATCAATCTTGTGTTGCGTTCCCGCCTTTTCGTTCTTGGAGCCGTCTTGGACTCCCCCAACGACCCGCGGACCCCCCCGTCCAGGTCCAGGGGAGGGGGTAGGGGGAGGGGTCAAGACCCCGTCCCCGCCCGCAAGCCGTCTCGCTCACTCCCACCCGCCCGCCCAACACATACGTAGCACCCGAGTCTGGCCCAAGCCTCAGCATATTCAGCAGTCGTCTTTGGATGGGCAGCTACTGGGGGCCAATCCGCCGCCTCCGCCGCCGCCGCCGCCGCCGTCGCCGCCGCAGCCGCCGCAGCCGCCGCCGCCGCCGCCGCAGCCGCCGCCGCCGCCGCCAAGTGTACTCTGTATTGTTTTTTGACAGGGATGGTGGGGGGGGTGTTGTCATGGACCCGGGTTGGCCCCCAGTCGCCTGGGGGAGGGGGTGTTCACTAATAGGGAACAGTGATCAAGACTCCCCCCGCCCGCAAGCCGTCTCGCTCACTCCCACCCGCCCTCCCAACACATACGTAGCACCCGAGTCTGGCCCGAACCTCAGCATATTCAGCAGTCGTCTTTGGATGGGGTAGCTACTGGGGGCCAATCCGCCGCCGCCACCGCCGCCTCCGCCGCCGCCGCCGCTGCCGCCGCCGCCGCCGCCGCAGCCGCTGCCACTACCGCCACCGTCGCCGCCGCGGCCGCCACCGCCGCCGCCGCCACCGCCGCTGCCGCCGCCGGCGGAGGGTGAAAGTGGGGGTCGGGCGCAGGGTCCCGGCAATGATGTTTCTAAAGGCCATGAATGGGCGATACATCCTCGATTGCTGTGTTCGGGGGGGGGAACTAATTGAAACCCCCCGCCTGCACCCGCGCGCGAGACTTGAGGGGAAAGGAAGCTAGGGGGCGGGGGGTTCGGGAAAGGCGACGAAGGCAACGCGCGCTAAGGGCGCAAAAAGAAATGGCTGGAACACACGAAAGCGGTCAGGTGAGTGTCGAAATCTGCCCAGCCAATCTGACATGCGGAGCACTGCGCCTCAGTTTTGGGGATCTTGAAGGCCAGGGCAAAATGTGAATTCACATTGTGGGGAAAAGCAAAATGTGAATTCACATGTTGGGAAAAAGGAAAATGTGAATTCACATGTTGGGAAAAAGGAAAATGTGAATTCACATTTTGGAGTGTTGTGTAGAATTCTTTATGAAGGGGCCAGAATGTGAATTCACATTTTGGGAAAAAGGAAAATGTGAATTCACATTTTGGAG